CCTCTTTTCTATGAAATCTTTTTGCACTTGACTTTTTGGCATATCTTTGCTTGAAGAAATTTTGTTGCTTTGCCGTATAATTAAATTGTTTCGGCCTTTCAACATTCATCTTTGCATTTGTTTGATAGCCAAGTCCTTGTCTCATTGTGCTATTCTGACTTTTAACAAATTTTACCACTTGAACTTTATTATTTAAAGTAGTAGTAGAATTAGTCAGATTTTGAGGGGTTTGAAAACATGTGGAGTCATAACCGATTCCAGTTCTATCTCCTGATGGCTTTTGCATGCTCACCATTTTATCTATTATTTTAGACGAATTAGTCAACGTAGCAATAGTAGCTCTAAGATTATGTTCTCTAACCTCTCTTGCTTTACACTCTTCTTGAAGATGAATATTTTCATTCTTCAATTTACTCACTTCAAGTAAAGCATCTTGCAATTTTTTATTCATTTCTTCTTTTTCAAGAATCAGAATATTATTACGCTTCTTGAGTTGAGGATGAGTGAGCATAATCTCTTGACATTCTCGCATTAGATTGTCAATAGATTCACGAGAAAAAAGAAGAATTGAAAGAATTAGATGTTACCTCTTCTTCCTCTGCTTCAAGAGCCATAAGACAATCTCCACTTGTACTCAACTCAATTGACTTGCATATTAGTGCCGTATCATCATCCGAACATGAACTTTCATCGCTTGATGATGAATCCTCCGAATCATCATTTTCATTTGGTTTGTTGCTAACGAGAGCTTTTCTTTTGTCGCGCTTGAACCTCTTGCTTTCGGATTTGTTCGGCATGGATTCAACATTTTTGCCTTGATACTTGCTAACGATCGGATATGGACAATTTATTTTAAAATGTCCGGGTTTGCGGCAATTGTAGCATAAATCCTTGCTTTCTTCGACTTTCTCTTCTTGTGATATGCGCGAAACAAATTTTCCACGAGCAGAATTTTTGTTGTCTCCTTTTCGCATAAACCTTCTAAACTTTTTGACAAAAAGAGCAAATTGTTCGTCAGCCATAAAATCAACATTATTTTCTACTGACCTGGAGGTTGACGGTTGTTCGGCCATTAGAGCAGAATTTTGAGCTTCATGAACATCATCATCTTTGGCCTTCATTTCGAACTCATATGCTTTTAGATCACTAAATAATTTGTCTATTGACAACATTCTTAGATCTCGGTGATCGCGCATAGCCGTAACCTTCATATCCCATGCAGATGGTAAGCCTCGTAGGATTTTGAGATTAATTTCTTTTTGGCTAATATTTTTGCCAAGATCACTAATCTCTCCAAGAACTTTGATCATTCGAGCTTCCATGTCTACAACACTTTCATTTGAGAGCATTTTGAAATCTTCAAACTTCTTCATGGCGATTGTGAGCTTATTGTCTTTTTCTTATTCATCTCCTTCGCCAATCTTGATGAGAGTTTCCCATATTTCTTTAGCAGTGGCACACTTTCGGATCTTTGAAAATATTGTATCATCTACGGCTTTGAATAGAATATCCTTGGCAATATTGTCAAGATTATTCCGCGTTCTATCGTCCGATGTCCATTCTGGTTTTGGCTTTTGTACGTACTGTGGAGCATCCGAGGATATAACAAACAACGTATTGATTTTTAATATTTCTATAGGGCCAGTGGAAATAACTTCCCACATTTCATCGTGTAAAGCCGATAAGTGTACATGCAAACGAACTTTCCAATCATCAAATTTATCAAGTGAGAATAATAGATTTTGAGCCAAATCTTTCTTCATCATCATCATGAGAGATATGAAAGATTAATCCAATTCACACACTTTGTAGAATGGATCAGCCTAGCAGTCAAAACAGTTAACCCAGTTAGGCAACGTGTTTTAATACCAAAGGTTGGTATAAACTGACTCAAATAGGCTACAGGCTCTGATACCAATTGTTGGTCCCAAAAGAGGTAAGGAGAAAGTCTAGAGGGGGGGGGGGGGGGTGAATAGACTTTCTAACTTTTTTCGCACAGCACAACAATTGCTAAGACAGAGAGATAAACAAAACTCTTAACTACATTGTTAGAGTATGGTGCACAGCGGAAATAAATAAACATAAAGTGTGTGTGAGATAGTGTGAGCAGTATAACTCATGTAGAGCGAATATGTAAAGAGCAGTAAGTAAAGAAAGCAGTAAAGAACAGAAGACAATTATAGTGGTTCGCGAGAAGATGTAATCCTCCTACTCCACTTGCTCTTATCTCCAAGAGCAATTCACTATATCTACCACTCCTTGGTTCCAAGATACAATGAATTTCCGTGATCTAGTGCTTTGATCACAAAGCCCGCACTAATCACGCCCAGTGACACCACACTGCTGCTTCGGGTTTCACGTCGCCGCGCTACTATCCCAGGATTTCACGACTCCGCGTTACTTTCCCCCCGTCTTCCACACTCCGGTAGAAACGTATCCCGTGATCTAGTGCTTTGATCACAAAGCCCGCACTAATCACGCCCAGTGCCTCCGACACTGCTGCTTCGGATCTCACAGCTCCGTGTGACAATCCAGGATTTCACAGCTCTGTGCTACTTTCCTCCCTTCTCTTGTTTTGCTCCAAAACAAGTGTTGTCTTGCTTCCAACTTCTGAGACTCTGTAGATGATCTTCAATGATGCGCAGGTCTCTTTGATGAAGATTAAAGCACTCTGGAATGATTTCTCTTGATAGCTCTGAGTGTTTTCTCTCTTTGAATATATCAAGTAAAGCACTTGATATTTTTGTTCTGCTTTGCTCTGTTTAAGAACTCTCAGAATATTTTTCTCTTGAAGCTCTCTGAGTTCTTTTTCTTTTCTCACTTCTCACTTGAAGATTTTTGGTATGCTCTGTACCAAAATGAGATTTTTGCTCTATGCTCTTTTAAACTTAATTGCTCTATTCGATCTCCTTGATGAGTTCGAATTTTCTGCTCTCTTGTTCGTGAGTTTCTCAACTGCTCTTCTCTAGTTCTCTTTCTTCAAGTCTTCATATCTTCATCATTTTATAGCTGGTAATGAGAATCTGTCCGTTGGAAAGAGACGCTATCATTTTTGAAATCTTGTATCTTTTTGTCAAAGATCTTATCTTATCTTCTGCAAAGATGTCAGAAAGGATAAGCTAGCCGTTTGATGGATCTTCATCTGCATGTAAATGAGCTCCCAAACTTCATCTGATATTCCTCTGGTTTAACGTTGAGTGGGAATATCTGGGTCTCTGTTTTGGTGTAGAATGACTTCTCTGATCAGCTCTGAAGTGGTCCTTGTATCTTTGGGATTTAAAAATATTCATTAATTTAATCCCATACTAGTTAGACTAGTATTTTTTCTTGTGAGAATATTTTCACTGTAAGTTCATCTTCATCTTCTTCATTCTCACGTCTGGGTGTTCTCAGACTTCAAATTGGTTGTGAACTTCTACCCAATTTGTATTTCTCCTTTGCAATTGACACTTAATTTCAATTGGCTTGTAATTGGCACCCAATTTGAATTTCTCCATTGTAATTGGCTCCCAATTGACTTTGACTTGCAATTGCCTCCCAAACTTCTCCTGGTGCTTTCAATTGCTTCCCAATTTGAATTCAATTTGATCTCCATGTCTTCTTTGAATCGGTCCCCAATTTGAATTTGCATCCCATACTACAACTTCAATTGGCTCCCATACTACAACTTCAATTGGCTCCCAATTTCAATTGACTTCGAAATGGCTCCCATACTACAACTTCAATTGGCTCCCAATTTCAATTGACTTCGAAATTGGCTCCCAGACTTCTGGTATTGAATTTCATCTCAATTCAATTTGATCTCCATGTCTTCTTTGAATCGGTCCCCAATTTGAATTTGCATCCCATACTACAACTTCAATTGGCTCCCAATTTCAATTCTACATTGGCTCCCATCTTGAATTGAATCCCTTTTGAAACAAGCTCCCTCGGTCCCCAATTTGAATTTGCATCCCATACTACAACTTCAATTGGCTCCCAATTTGAATTCTACATTGGCTCCCATCTTGAATTGATTCCCTTGGGTGAATTTCAATTCTACGGGTGAATTTCAATTCTACATTGGCTCCCATCTTGAATTGATTCCCTTGGGTGAATTTCAATTCTACGGGTGAATTTCAATTCTACATTGGCTCCCATCTTGAATTGAATCCCTTGTGAAACAAGCTCCCAACTCCCAATTTCAATTCTACATTGGCTCCCATCTTGAATTGATTCCCTTGGGTGAATTTCAATTCTACGGGTGAATTTCAATTCTACATTGGCTCCCATCTTGAATTGATTCCCTTGGGTGAATTTCAATTCTACATTGGCTCCCATCTTGAATTGAATCCCTTGTGAAACAAGCTCCCAACTCCCAATTTCAATTCTACATTGGCTCCCATCTTGAATTGAATCCCGAATTTCAATTCTACATTGGCTCCCATCTTGAACTGATTCCCTTGTGAAACAAGCTCCCAATTTCAATTGCTAGCCAAACTAGCGCTCAACTCCATCAGATTTAATTAAATTTGGCTTCTCAAATTTTACCTTGTAAAATTGTTGATGGTGAGATTCGAGCTTGAGCCATTTCGCATAACATATCAAGCATCATCCACTTCGTCCCTACTTTTGATTAAATCTCCAATCACATTTGATGTACTCCTTTCTTTCCATAGATGCTTGATCTCCAAGTCAATTTCATGCATTCTTCCAATCTTAATTTTCTTCACGAAAATTCTTCTGGGATATTTCTTTAAGTAGCATTGACGTCAATATTGTATCATTCATCTTCTTCTTCAATTTGTCATTTTCTCCAAACAAATTCTTGATTTTAGGCTTTATATCTTCTTCTTCTTCTTCTTCTTCTATTTTCATGCATCTTCCTATGTTTTTCTCTTTTCCAATTTAAATAATTTCCCGATCATGGTCTAAGACTCTACTAGACCTAACAAATAAAATTGGGGGATCTACAAATACAAATTTGGCATATCAAAACCATTACACTTTATTCCTAATAGACTATGATGTGGATGAGTATGATCAGTTTTTACGTGTGTTTTGGGTAGACCCAGTAGCACGACGGAATTTTGCATGCTTTGGTGATGTGGTTTCTTTTGATGCAACGTATCGGACGAACTGGTATGTGCATTTATTCTCGTTGGCTTGTGCATCTGTGTTTTGTTGGCAGTTTGTTACGAATATCTTTTTACATACATGTACGCAATTTGATTTTTTTTTCCCCTTTCTTGTATTTGTGTAGGTATAAGCTTGTGTTTGTCCCATTTACGGGCATTGATAATCACAAGAAATCAGTTACGTTTGCCGCAGGGTTGATTGCAAAGGAAGATGTTGGGTCCTATGTCTGGTTGCTCGATAATTTCAAGCGAGCTATAGGCCACGAGCCAACATACATTATCACCGATCAAGATCCAGCCATGCGGGGGGCTGTCCCCACGGTGTTCAATTCTTCACATCATCGCTTTTGCATGTGGCATATCATGACAAAGTTCGGTGACAAGGTGGGTCCAGTGCTTGCTAAGGATCAGTCGTTTCGGCGTGCTCTTAATGATGTTGTTTGGGACGAGTCTATAACAATCGAGGAGTTTGAATCTAAATGGCTTGGTGTTATGGAGGTCTATGATCTCAGTGAGTATAGGTGGTTCCGCCAGATGTTTGATTTACGTGCATTTTGGATTTCAACTTTTTTTCGAGACTTGCCTATGGGTGGTTTGTTGCGAACGCCTTCCCGGTCGGAATCGCAGAATACTTCATTTGGAGGTTGCACTAACTGTCATGCGAGCTTAGTGGAGTTTGTCATTCATTTTGAAGGTGCTATTGATAGCCAAAGGCATAAGCAGGCTAAGCTCAATGCGGCGTGTGAGGGCCATTTGCCAGTGGTGAAGACGCCTTTGGCAATTGAGCAGTATGCAGCTGCTGTTTATACCACTACTGTATTCTATGAGGTGTAGACAGAGATTGTGGCTGGGTGTTTTGATTGTTCTGTTCTGTCTTCCATTGTTGATGGTGTCTTGAAACGTGTTGGAGTTGAGGATGCATATGGTAATGTGTATGTTGTTGTATATAACCCAACCGAAACTACAGCAGATTGTTTCTATCGGATGTTCCAGCATGTGGGCTTGTTGTGTCGGCATATATTTCTTGTCTTTAAGGATGCTCGTTTGGACTCTATTCCACCTTGCTACTTGGTTTCTCGGTGGACACACGAGGCCTACAAGCGTCAAATTTATGATATAGAAGGGGTTCATGATGATGTTGTTGTAGGTGTGGCCAATAGTAGGGTGATTCGAAGCAGGTTTGGAATGATTTTTACAGTTGTGTTGCTCTTGCAGGTCATAGCTCGGATCGTATAATGGAGTTGTCCCGTTTTTGAAGGAGTTGAAACTGTCATTTGTCAATGCCGACACTAGTATTGGTACGTCCATTTGTAAGTCTAGTGTTGTTCGGGCGTTTGGTGGTATGATCACGTCTCCTGATATTCTTGTCCACCCACCAACTGTTGCTAAGAATAAGGGTTCTGGGAAGCGGTACAAATCGACTAAGGATCTTGCTGCAGAGAGAGCTGCAAAGTCTACACGAGAGTGCAAGAGTTGTTACTAGTTATGCAAAACTTCACTTGGTATCAGAGCGGGTTCCAAGAACCTTATTCTTGATCAATTGATCTTTGTAACTCAATCATCCTGTATTTATATTCTGCGGTTTTTTGCACGTCTCTGTTGTTACATTTGAAAAATTTGCAGATATGAAAGGACAAGAAAGACCACCACAACTAGTAGGCACTAACTATGGTTATTGGAAGGCAAGAACGAAGATCTACTTACAGACCCTAGTCGTCCACGTGTGGCCGAGTCCGGCACAAACCGAACATGTTCGTGCAGCGAGACCAACGAAACTTGTTTTGCCGGACGTGGCATGAGGTCCACATCAGATGAATAAGTAATGAACCCATCTTTGTCATCTGGGCAATCACTTTCTTCGTCTGATGGGACGTTCAGCGAAAAAGTAGGGGCATCGCCTATATAGTAACCACACTGAGCGACCCCACAGGCGATGCATTCCCGCACGGCGTTTGATGTTGACGTCCTGTTGAGAAAATCGGCGCCTATATTCTTTCGCCGTAATTTTTCTGTTTGCCTTCTTGGAATTCGTTAATGCATAAAGAAGAACAAAGGAAAAAGAGAATACGCAACCCAGGCGAACATGATTTGTTGCTTGTTACTCACGAATTTATAAGCAACCCTGATTGTCAGAAAAAGGGCAATATAATCGTTTTGTTGACCAAATATAGACGACACGCACTCAAAGTCCACACCGCTTAAAGGATTCATCAATTTAGCCGTTTACGTGGCAACGCATACGACGTCACATTCCAAATAACTGCTGGAATTTGTCTCGGAAAAAATGATGGCCAGCAAGGCAAACAAAATAATGGCAAATGCGTAATTCTTGCATACGGAAATAAGGAAGAAACTGGCAAGACACAAAATAATCGGCAAACGATATTTCTTGTGCACCGCAAAAAAAAAAAAAAAAAAAAAAAAAAAAAAAAAAAAAAAAAAAAGCGTAACATTAGCACGACACGGCACGCAAGATAAAAAAAAAAAAAAAAAAAAAAAAAAAAAAAAACTGCATTTAAACATCTATGGTAAAAAAGGCAGACCCATAAGAGAAGAGAATTTTAACAGGAATCATTTACCATTTAATATAACCGGTAGATAAGCAGTAGAAATATAACAGTTTTCCCTGCCCACAAGGAATCAAAAAAGTAGACCTGCGCACGAAGACATATGTCCGGCAAACGCCATTGAAAAGAGTAATAGAACAATGATTCAAGTGCAAGACCAACAACCGCGGCAAAGAAGATAGCCGGTAAAATGTAGTAGAATAAAATATAACAAAAAAAAAAAACGTAATGACCTGCAAGTTATATGAATCTACTATAACTAAATGAATTCACCCAAATGCAAAATGACCATAGAAATAGGAGGTAATCGGACAGAAGCTGGATCAACCAGAAAGAATGAAGATGCGCGATCTGCAAAGGACACGCTCAAATAAGTTCCAAGCAAGACAAAAGTGAACAGAAAACAACCTCAGAACCTTGTAAGTAGCCCGGCCGAACCTCATAAACTTTTATTTATGAGTACGAATCGGGTAGGATTCAAAGGATGGATCATCGAAGGCAACCAAGAGAAAACAAATTCCAGGGGAGGCGTGAGTATGAATCAGCCACAATTCTGAGAATGGGTCATCTAAGGCCACCGAAGGAAGAACAAATTAAAGGGGAGGCGTCCACACACACACGTTCAAGAGCAGCAAAGCATAAATTACAACTGAAGAGGTTATTTGTGAGACCCAAAAAGACACCCTCTGTATATCTCTAATCTCTAAATAAGTAAGATAGACATCCAATCAAAGTACAAGTTGCGATGTGCGTATGCGGGAAAAGAGGAAAATACAAACTCGAAGTCATAAAGAAAATAGTAATAGATGTTAGGAGTGAGGAGCCGCCATGCATTTTTTTCTACGCCAAACAGTCAATCGTTATACCTTGCACCACGGCGCACAGTGCACTGTGCGCCCTGCGGCTCCCAAAACGACGTCGTTTTGGGAGGCGCGGTAGGAAGTTAACATGATTATGTATATTTGTTTATACAATTATGTATATTTCTTATTATGTACATTTTTTATACAATTACGTACATTTTTTTATAAAATTATGTACATCCGAATCAGGAAATTTTTGTGTATTATGCAATGTTGCAAAACACGTTAGGCGCTGAATTTTTTTTTTAATTAAAAAAATTAAAAATTAAAAATTTTTAAAATTTAGTAATAAAACATAAGGTTTCCATAGTTATTTCTTACAAACTATTTACGTAAGTGGTTGTAAAAGTGTTCAAAAGATTGTTGAAACCATCTAAATATATAAAAACTAAAATTAAGAGCAAAAGAAGTATTTTTTGGAGAAATTAGTGGACTAAACTGCCTTTGGCTGTTTGCGGTGGATAGATCTCAAAAAAATACGCGATTTGAAAAAAAATTGTCCAAAAAGGACAACTGAGTCAAAAGTTATGTCTTCCCGAACTTTTTCCACTTTTCAACGAAAAAAAAAAAAAAATCAGCGCCGGTTCAGCCGGCTAGGCGGTCTAGGCGGCCACCTAGACCGCCTAACCGGCCGGCCGCGGAGGAGGCTGATTCCGGCCTTCCTCGCGGCGGCGGCCGGGCGCATAGCGCCTAGGCGCGATTTTTGCAACCATGGTATTATGTTAAGAGTTGATGTGTATAATGTTAAAAGTTTATGTTTATTATGTATTATGTTAGATTATGTGTATTATCTTTAAAAAAAGAGTATGTGTATTTTGTTATATAATTATGTACATTCATGTATACAATTATGTATATTCTAGTATAACATTATGTACATTTTTTAACATGAGATTTTTTTTTAAGGAAAATTAACTGCCAAGCACTAGGTAGCAAAATTTCAAAAAAAAAAAAAAAAAAAAAAAAAATTAAAACGACGTCGTTTTGCATCTGGGCGCACAATGCAACGCGCGCCGTGACGCAGGATATAAATTGCCCCAAACATTTTACAATCTCACGAAGCTGGCCCACAACTGAGTGATTTCGGTATCTCGCCTTTCCCATAGGCGAGATATATTTTTCCATTAATTCTCCATAGACGGTGGAGTAAATACGGTAAACCACCGTATTTACTCCCAACCTACCATATTTATTCCTTTAGGTTCCCAAGATATCCGCTCCACCATCTTTCTCCTCTTAAATATAACCCTATTTCAAGCTTTTTCTATCACTTCTTCCCAGCCAAAGAAAACAGCCGTGCCATTACAGCCCAGCGAGAGAAATCAGAAGAAATCAGTTTTCTTCTTCCTTCTTCCCATCCAATAATCAATTTTTTTTTTCCTTTTTATGTTATAGTTTAACCAATAATCAATTAAAACTTGTCACATTAGAAATCAAAAATTTGTGAGTAGAAATGTAAGAGTACTAATGGCATGTATGGTCCTATTACGAAGGGTTTATTAATGAAAAAGATTTTAAAGATATGTTTAGTCCATTTTTCTTAATTTTTATCTTCTACAATTTTTTTTTCTTTAGAAAATAGATTTGTTATCATATTATTTTACAAGTAAAAAATACAAAGATATTTAAAATTAAATTAGTTTTTCATTTTAACATACAATAATAATGAGCGCAGCAAGTAAAGGAAAAAAAGTATTTTTAAAATTATTTGTTGAATTGAAAAATGATTTGTTTAATTTTAAAAATATGATGAAATAGTGCGAGAAAATATGTTTTCTATTTACTAAATACACCTTTAACTTTTGGTAGCACCGCATTCGAGGGAGCATACAATCCATATGATCAAACAACTCAATACCGTCAGATGCAAGCACCGTTTAGTCAAATTTTTGACCCGTCAAACCATCTTCATCATCTAATTTCCTATTCGAATTTGTCAGGCAATATTCGAATAACGCCTATGCCAAAGGCGTTATTTGAATATTGCTGGCATAGGCGTTATTCGAAATTCGAATTTCGCCTATTGCATTCGAATAACGCCTATGTCATAAGCGTTATTCGAATTATATTATATATACCCCACATCCGTCCATTTTATAGAAGCACAATTATTTCTCATTTTGCTCCAAACTTGTTATCCATTTCCAAACTCCTTACCAATTTTCTCTTCCATCATCATGGATATGTTCGTAGAATTTTCAAAGGTTTCATGCGTCAACCAACAACGTTATAATATGAAACGTTATTTCGCAAATACAATAAACGGAAGGAAATTATTGTATGCAATTATAGAGCATACATCAAAAGATCAATATATATGTTTTGCACCTTTCATGGGTAAAATATATGAAAATGCTAGGACTAAACGTGTGCGATCCAATTGCATTTCAGAATTTTCAAGATGCAGAGCGTTATACCTATGACATCCTACAACATGGCCTACGAACACTACTCCTTCCCTCACGTAAGTCATTTCATATTTCATATTTATAATGTATATTTATAACTATTTTTTCTTTGCTTTCTTGAAACTTGCAATGATCAAAAATATTTGTCGGGTATTACAAGATCTACTATTGTATGGTTTTTATTACAATTAGGTTGTGTGTGTCCATGGTAAATTTATCAATTTTACTTCGAAATTTCGTTCTTTTATATTTTATTCCAATTACTTTTTTTTATTGTGCCCTTATTTTATTTTATTTTTTTTTAGAAAATTCCAAAATGTATGTATCGACATCTAATGCAACACTTCACAACGACTGCGATATTGAAATATGGTTTGTCGTTCGCAATCGAAGTGTCAGTTGAAAACATGCACTTCACTACAGGAATTTCTGATTTCATTAGTGCGAATTCGTTAAGAACAGGGGACAGGGTGCTATTTAGACATACTGGTTTCTTCACTCTTGAAATCTTTTGCTATACTTTCGAGGGAATGTTGAAGAGGTACCCCTATTTTCCCCCAAATGCGTACCGCATTCCTTCTCGACCATATCAACTAGGTAACTATACACTTTAATGCATCACCAAAATTTATGTTACATATTACAACCATTAATTACTCGTTTATTTAACCTTAGACCGAATACGTGTAAAGGCGAAATATGCTCTGTCCCCAACATATTCAATTCATGTAGAACGATGTCGTTCTTTGTATACGGATTTCTCCCAACCTGGAGCAGTAAGAGATAATACATAATATTCTAATTCAACTTGTATCCTCTAACAATTATTTAGTAGTTCATTTCTTTGTTTCGTCTCTATAGAAAGCTAGATTGTCTGCATTCCTCCGATATTCTGACGAGTTCGTTGATGCTACGCTTAAAATAGTACTTGGATCTCGACAGCTATAGCTCTACTTTGACACAACTTTAACTTTTTTCACAGAACAGTGGGAGGAAATAACAACATATTTTAATAGTAATACAACGGAGGACTATGTGGTTTTATTCAGTTTGGAGGACAACGTTGTACTACTCATGGTTATTGGTCCATGTCATGTTGAAAAAATTTATCCATCGTCAGTTAAATATTTCATTAATGACAATGTGTATGGTGAACTTCAAACTTTAGGCATATGATAATAATAGTGTTAACCGTTTTGAATTTTATTACATTATAATTATGTTTCACTTTTACTAATCATCAACACTTTTTTTTTGAAAACCTAATCATTAGTACTTATTTACTTACTTATTTAGTTAAACATCTAATCATTATATGTTACTAATTATTATACTAATAAAAGAAAATTTTTAAAAATATTGTATTTCACTGTATGTTTTTTTTTTTCCGTAATATTGTATTTCAATGTATATTTTTTATTTTTTTTTCCGTAATACTGTATTAGAATGTTGCCAATACTAACGACGAGATTCCCTTTGGTGAATGTCACCTTTTTCAAAGACACTTTCCTTGGTTGATATCCCATTTTAAGGATTTCCCTATTTCGAAACTCACGCCAAAATCTTTCTCCGAAGAATTAATGATTCATTCGACTCTGACCAGCCGAAACCAAATCGACGACATTGAAAAGGGCATAATAAGGAATTCAACTGTGAACGCACACCTCGTAATACACATCGTACAAAAATGCTCCCCAGAAGATGTCATGGGCAAAAATAACATAAGTTTTATACGTGTTCATAGATTGTGGAATAATTTATTAATCTTTCCGTTTTTGGATAACCCGACCGAAAAATTCCAATCGAAAAACTGAGCCGAAATGATGCTATAACTGACCGAAAAACCGACCGAGCGGGTGTGAGAAACTGTGAGTCAGCCATGGGAGCTAGGAAACGAGCTTCAAAAGAACCTGCTGGCGTGGCTGCTAAACAGGAATCCGGCGATTCCAAACCGGTTCCAACGCCTGATGATGCCTCGTCCGAGCCGAACATCACCCCTTCAAAAGCTCCATTAATGTTCAAATGCACTGCAATTTTCTCAATCCCGTACTTCTACTTGATCTACTACCACTACCGAATCGAATCGGAGCTCCGGAGATCCATCATCATCAATGCTATTATTAGCTTGCTTGGTTACTTCGTAACCCTAGCTATGATCCCCGTGGCCTCGAAATACCTTCTTAGAAGGAACTTATTCGGATACGATATCAACAAGAGGGGCACTCCTCAAGGCACCGTTAAAGTGTAATCCTCTTCTCTTTTCTATAATTCCATATTCATCATTTTGATTCAATTTGATTTCTAGATCATTTGGTGATTCCTCAAGTTTTGTAACTGCTGTATGCACTAAATATTAGAGGCTAATATTTTGCAGGCCTGAGTCACTGGGTATTGTTGTTGGGACCGTTTTCTTGGTTGTGGCTATCTTGTTTCAGTACTTTAACTTCACAGCTGATTCAAATGTAAGTGTATGCTTCTGTTTTTATTTTTCCTATGTTTCATTTAGAAAAATGAAATAAAATTGAAAGATATTCTAAAAAGTAATGTGAAGTCTTCTGAAGATTAAAAAAAGCCAAAGTTATTGGGTGAAAAATTAGGGATGTAATGCACTAATGCACACGAATCCACTGTACCTTGGAAGAAGGGTTCACTGGTTGGTTAGCTTTAACTTATTTTTTTCCTTGTATGGATGTGATGTTAGAAATATCACTTTTTCTAGCTTTGTTTGGTAGAAGATGCATTGAGACTGTCCTTCTCCTACCTTTCTTGTACTTTACAACTGAAACAACAAATATCACAATGCTTAGCTTCTATTAAAATTTGCGGCTTTATAATGTTCATGCTAAGTCATTTCAGTGGCATTGCTCTGAGATTTTGTTCATTATATTCATTTACATCATGTATGTTATATAAATTTACGACCTACACCATAGTTCTATTTCTCATTCACGCACACACACACTCTCATAATGAGTGTATTTACCTATACGCACTTTTAGCTTTGTAATATTTCTATTTTGACCTTTTTTATGGGGGAGTAGAGAGAAAGATAAATTGTGTTGTCAATTGTTCCTTGAGTAAAAAAATAAATTGGATGCTTAGTTGTTCCTTACAAACAGCCGAAACAGGGTGCAGAGAATACTGATATGATACAAAGAACCATTACTATTTTAAATATTATAAAAGGAAAATGGGGTATTCTTGACTTAAGGAACAACTTGCTCCTTTAATTTCTTTGATTAACTTGTAATCTAGATCCTTGAAAAGAGATTGTAGGCCATAAGTTTGTGCATTTTAAATCAGAAGCTTTGATTTCCACCATGCGGCACAAGAAGATAGATTCTGAAGTATGGCGTGCAAACCATGATATATCCTTATTGTCTCAGCCAATGATAATCTTGTCAAAAACCATCTTACTCAATTTATGCTCCTATACTGATTTATAGCACCTTGAAACATCATATAAATTTACAATGAATGAAGAATTATGATACTTAAAAAAAAAAAAAAAATCTCTGCAAGTTATATCCAGATTTGTATAAAATGAATTGTAAATCTTTTTTTCCATTAGTTTTTTTTAAAGTACATTTTGAGAATTTCATATTTGAAGTTCTGAACCTTTTCTTCTTGAAAGTTGATTTAGCTCTTGCTGTTTGGTAATTGCAGTGGCTTGTTGAGTACAATGCGGCATTAGCTTCAATCTGCTTCATGATGATGCTTGGATTTGTTGATGATGTTCTTGATGTACCATGGAGAGTGTATGTTTTTGGTCATACACTTGAGAAACTTTTTCATATTCCATTTTATATTGGAAGCTTGAATGCTTTTGACTTATTAATGTTATAAAAGAGATCCTTATTTAGTTTACTGTTATGATGAAGACAGGAAATTGTTATTGCCATCTATTGCAGCTCTTCCTTTGTTGATGGCGTATGCTGGGCATACAACTATTGTTATACCAAAGCCTCTAGTTCAATATGTTGGATTAGAAATTGTGGATCTAGGTATTGTTTGATTTAATTGATACCTTCATTATAATGTGTGGACTGATTGTTCACTTTTCGTGTTACACAATCTGTTTCATTGGTACATTTTGTAATGCTTCTACCAATTTTAATGTGTACAGGATGGATTTATAAACTATATATGTGGCTCTTGGCCATATTTTGCACAAACTCCATAAATATCCATGCTGGCATCAATGGCCTTGAAGTAGGGCAAACAGTTGTTATTGCAGCTGCTGTAAGTTTAAAGATTTTAGTATACTGAACGTCTGAACTTGAAAATACAAAAAGTTTTCATGGAATCTAACTGACAGTATTACTTGTAGATTTTGATTCATAATATCATGCAAATTGGAGCATCTACGGACCCCGAGTACAAACAAGCCCATGCATTTTCTCTTTATCTTGCCCAACCATTGCTTGGCACTTCCTTGGCGTTACTTTCTTACAACTGGTACTGTACTTCAAGATTGTCAATTTTCCTAGAACTTTGCAATTTGTCTTCTGTGTGTTATCCTGAACTTTCTATTATAGGTATCCTTCTTCGGTTTTTGTTGGTGACACCTTCACCTACTTTGCTGGAATGACTATGGCAGTAGCTGGCATTTTGGGTCACTTTAGGTATGTGAATATGTATTTTCCTTATAACAATATAATTAATTTAAGTACAGAATGAACTTAAATTTGACTCTCCCCTCATTATATTCTTTGATGATGACATGAATCCTCAACTTTGAAAGTTCCCTGGTTTATAAACCATCTTAGTAATATATCACTCATAGTTATATCCTACCCCTGATCTTGAGAGAAAGGAGAATGCATTAAATAACTGGGATTCTTTGAAAGAGAAACAAAAATTAGTCTTTGTTTTGGTATAGATGTATTAAAAATTGTTTTTTAGGCTGTCTGCTGATGATCTCTGTCTCGAGATGGATGATCAATTGATCATATATTTCAAGACAATTTTTAAATTAAAAAAATACAATTAACCAAAAAAGATATATAAAATCCCATATTCATCTTATCTGGTTGGCATTTGAACCAATAGGCTGTTCCATCAACATATTGATGAATACCCTCCATGTGAATTGCAGTACTACTATCCCTCAATCAAACACTTTGAACATAATTTAAATCCACAGGAGTGCTGTCTATATTATTAACATGAATACAAATAAGGATTTGTGGACAATTATGTTACACAAAGTTAAAATATGGCTTTAAACTGCGTCTAATTGCTGATGCACCATAAAAAATACATGCATATTTTTACATTATCCAGTTATTCCCATCAAGCACCCATGCATTTTGTTACATTATAAAGTTACTTATTTAGCTGTTTTGATCTGAGATTCTGCGAACTATAATCAACTACTGTTCTCATGTTTTATCCTTTTCAGTGAAACACTTCTGATATTCTTTACCCCTCAAGTTTTGAACTTTTTGCTGTCACTCCCTCAGGTACCCACCCCCTCTTCCTAGATTCCTCTAAAACAGAACAATGAAGTTAATATTGTTATTTATAAAGACTAACCCCTTTTCTTCGTTTTTCCTTTGTCAGCTAGCTGGTATTATCCCTTGTCCACGGCATCGACTGCCTAAGTAAGTTAATTTATTTGCCTGCTTGACTTGTAAATACTCACAACTAAATTGTTGACCTCTATTGGAACTGTTCAGATTTGATCCTCAGACGGGTTTACTGACTGGTACAAATGACGGAACATTGGTAAACTTCTTCTTAAGACAACTTGGCAGAATGTCAGAACAGTCCCTTTGCATTGTATTACTACTTTTCCAGGTAATAGGTTTCTCATGTATTTAGAGAGCTGCCAAGTTCCTTCATATTGTTGAATGGTGGCTAGCCACTCATTGGACTTCTTCTAACAATGAGTTCCTTTACATAGATCCATCGGTTATTGAACAACTGATTTTAATTTGATGCTGCATAACAACCCTAAATTTACTTATATCACCAGTACATAATTGGCCGACTTTTTGATCTGAACTCCATTCTTCTCTCTTCCACCACCTGACTTAAATAGGTACAGCGGACTCAAATTTGGACTGATTTTGAATATAAAGCTTGAACTTACTAGTTTTCTATAACTGAAATTTCTGTGCGTGACAGGTAGAAATTACCTTAATGGAAATGTATTTATAAGCACTTTTATGCCATCTTTTTTTTTTTGGGTGTACCCATGGTTTCCATTTTCCATCGTCGGACACCGACTAATCCCCTCGTTGAATTGTAGGCACCTCTAATGGGTGGGACACACTCTAATAGAAATGTATTTATAAGCACTTCTATGCCATCTTTTTTGCTGATATAAAGATGTAGACATGTAGTCAACTTAGAATTCAAGAATAATTTAGGTAAGGTATGAATTTTAGGTGGCAAACTGGCAATCAAAATGTTGTTACACTAGATATTTACCAAGGATAACAATAGGCTGCATTGCTTGTAGAATTCTTGTTACTTGAAGTCCTAAACTGGTTCGTTCCCTTTGTTTCTTCAATCAATCCTGCATATGTGGCATGGTGTCATTGAACCCTCGTATATAAATTTGTCTGCCGACAGGCCTTCTGCTGCTGCTTCTGTTTCCTGCTGAGGTGGCTTCTTACTGGTTGGTATAAATGAAGAAGTTGCAACAGCAAAGAAGCGCACAACTGAATGAAATCATGTACAGCTGAACTTGTATACTACGACTTAACCAACTCACCCTGGAAATTCAGAGTTCTTTTGTTGTCGCGGGAGGTAAGTAGAACAGTTGCTTTTAAATGAGTTTAAGAACTAGGTCTGTTGGAGTTTTGACCTAACTCATAAGAGTTCCAAGAGAATCATTGTTTTATTAACTGGAGCGCGCTAAACTTTATATAGGCTCAGTTTTCTTATCGAGAAGCTTTACAGATTTTTGCAGCATTATATATTATTTTTCTGGTAGAGCCGGTTGTTAGTCGGGCCTCTGTTTTGGATCCAAATTCAAGCGAGTCCAGTGTTTGCTTTGGGTGTTGTATGCCCCCGGCAAATTATGGTCCACACAGTGCTATGTGGACCATAACAAAAAATACAATTTTAATATACTAAAAGTACATTATTTGTGTACTGAATGTGCATTATACAAAATAATGTACTTTTCCTGAATACAATGTACATTTTTAATATACTAAAAGTACATTATTTGTGTAGTGAATGTACATTATTTGATAGTATGCTACACAATAATGATTGTATGCCTCCGGTTTGGATGTGCAATGTACTTTATATAATGATTATAAACTAAAATATTAATATGAAGAGAAAAAGTGAGAGGAGTAGAAATTGGAAGTTATAACTGTTTATAAAAATAATGTGCTTCAAGGGGGAACCAAAAGATATTACAAATGCTCTGTCACTTTGTCCCAAAATATAGTGTGACAAAAGTCCAAATATCAGGAATCCAGGAATCAGGATGCTTTCATGTTCACTCACTCTAATTCTTGTACAGAAAATTTGCATATGAGAACATAACATTTAAGCTGCATTTGAAGACATGGAATCAGACAGTAACATCAAAGAATGGCAAATTATATCGTGCACCGTGGTGCATAATGGATTACGCACTGAGCTTCTAAACGATGTCATTTTGTTTAATGAAAAGAAAAAGCATTTGTTTCGTGCCATTCTGCACCGTTCCGTAAAAAGTAATTCTGTTATTCAGCTTCATTTTGTACCCACTACAGTTTCATTTTAACACAACTACAGTTTAATTTCTATATAATTACAGATTCATTCGATATTTATACACTCAAATATGTGAAAATGTTATTTAATTTTATTTTATATACACTATAGTTTCATTAAAATAAAATTACATTATCATTTCGATATAACTACAGTTTCATTGCACAATAGACACTAAAATATGTGAAATGTTATTCAGTTTCATTTTATATACACTGTAGTTTCATTTCAACACAACTGCAACTTCAATTGTTGTCTTAGCTAATACATGGACAACACTATTCACAGATCTACGAATAACTGAGAACGATAATTAAACGGTTGATTTAATTCCATTTTTTGTCTTAGTTTTATATATGACAGTCCGCTTTTAGTCATTTTTTAGTAACATCCCTATTTTATCTTAGTATTATTGTGACATGTCCATTTTTTGTTCTCAATCTATCAATCAAATCATTGAAATGTCGTTAAATACAATGACATTTCGATAATTTTTAAAGTTCATAATTGAAGACTTAAATGTCCTTGTATTTTAAGAAATTTAAACGGTTTTGTTGATGGTGGACAAAAAATAGTCATGCCACAATAATATTAAGATCAAAGGGAGATGTTCTGATAAAAAAAAAAGGACTAAAAGTGTATTATCACCTATAATAAAATTAACTACCTATCATTTTTTATAGATTCACATTAAACATGACTAAAATGTGTCTATAATCTTTTATAAATTCACATTAAACATGACTAAAATTCACTACGACACGATTATTAATCCCATAAAAATTTACTAATATATGGATTTATATTTTAGTCTTGTGAAATTGTTAGTCCAATCTCATATAGTTTAAATTCATAATCTCAGGCTTAGAATCAGCATTTAAAGCAAAAGCCAATATAATGCTGAATTGTGGGAGACTCTCATGGGTGGTTGGTCAAAGCAATTCAAACATCTCCCTTCAATTCCAAAGCCTCAATTCAGTTCTTATGGAAGTTGATAGTATAAACTATAAACCAACCAAACACAAAACCCAAAGTTCAAAGGCCTCAATCATGACATCTCACTGCTAAAGGCCTAAAATTTTTGTCCTAAAACCTCATCACTTTTCCCATAGACAACGGATACTTTATCTTTCAAGCCCCCAAAATCCGAGTTTTTTGCACTTTTAGTTCCACGACTATAGTGGCACTGGCAGAATTGATCCACGACTTTTGAACCTTGCAATTTTAGTCCACGACTATTGATTTTTTTGCAAAAATGGTTCTTCCGGCCACTTTTCCGTCAAAATTTCACCGGAAAAAAAAAATTCTCTATTTTTAGTCGAGTTAAAATTGACATTTTACTTATCTCAAAAAATTAAAAGAAAAAAATTGATATTTGACTACATACAATATTACTGGGCTACATACTACTGCCCCAGGCGGCAGAGTACATGTACCACTCCAATGCTGCTGCCGGAGCCCGGGGAACGCCACGGCCGCTCCGCCACTTACTAACAGCCCTGCCTGCTCCAGGAACTCCGCCGCCTGGGGCAGTAGTATGTACCCAGTAATATTGTATGTAGTCAAATATCAATTTTTTTTCTTTTAATTTTTTGAGATAAGTAAAATGTCAATTTTAACCCGGCTAAAAATGGAGAATTTTTTTTTTTTCGGTGAAATTTTGACGGAAAAGTGGCCGGAAGGACCATTTTTGCAAAAAAATCAATAGTCGTGGACTAAAATTGCAATGTTCAAAAGTCGTGGATCAATTCTGCCAGTGCCACTATAATCGTGGGACTAAAAGTGCAAAAAACTCCCCAAAATCCTCCTGCCACAACTAATAAAAAAAATTATTTTATTCCCATCATCACTAACTAATTACAGCTGCATATTAAAGTTCTGATTTTTTTTTTTTATATGGACTATAATTTCTAATAAATTATAATATAATGTTATATTTTATGCTTTATCAAAAGTATATATTTATTTTTTGAAAAAAATAAAAAAGTACAACTTTATAAAATAAAAAGTATATTTTATTAAACAAAAAGTACACTTGTAGCATTCTAAAGTTGGCAAATAGTGTTGGGAATTTTATTTAAAAACATATTTTCTTAATTTTTAACGAGATAGGAAAGAAAACATAGTTTTTTAGCAAATTTTCAAATTTCTTAAAAAGTATAAATATATGTATACTAGTGCAAACCTACATAATTTTTTAAAGTGAGACGAAGACTTATTATTTTTAAAGTCTTTTAGAGATCACTTTCTTCAATTTCAAGGTATACTTTAGAACTAATTTCTAGCTCATTTAATAGCTATCTATTTTTAGTGTTTAAATATATAATATCCATAATACAGTCTTACTAACAAAGATTTGAATCCACTTTAACCCAATCCAAATCAGAAACCAACCAATCTAAAAACAAAGTATTAAATGACTACTCACATACATGTCATTTTTTTGTAAGTTTTTTTTAGCAATTAGTGTGAATAGTATATGATATAATTTTATTACACTTGCATATTTGTAGGTAGTGATGTCAATCGAATTTCAGCATGCATGTTTGACTTCGGTCAATAGCTCTATCAGGTTGTTAAGCCAGTTGATTTTTGTCGACTTTAAAATTCTTGGCCCTAACTCTAAAATCTCATGTGAGCTTAATTAATTTTTAATATTTTTAAATTAATATTCTAAATTTTCAATTTTAATAAACTACTACATTCACATTAGTAAATATAAACTTATACATCATTCAAATAATCTAAACCCCCCTCTACAAATTCCAACTAAAAAAAATATTATATTTATACTATGATATAATAATTTTATTTCCTTATTTAGTTTTATGAAAATATTTTATTTTGTAATACATTTACTAATATATTTATTAGAATTTAATTTAAAAAAATACTTAAGATGAACTTACATATAAACTTCATGTTTAACCCAACAGGATAGCTCAAGTGGCAAATGAGCTCTTTTTGTGGAGAGAATTCCGGGATAACCCGGGTTCAATTCCCACAAGTGACGATTCCCTTTGGGCCAGCTTCTGTGCCTCTCGGAGAAAGACCCGGACCACAATGTGTGGTTTCCACCAAAAAAAAAAATAAACTTCATGTTTATTTTGTTTCACATTACTTATGAATCAAAGAATACCCTTAAGTGGCTTGGGCTATTAAGTTTGCCTACTAAATTTTGGGCTAGTTTGTTTGGGCTATCAAGCTTATCTATTTCAGACATATCGAAATAATTTTTTATAAGACTAATTTTTTTTTTTTTAATGTTTATAAAAAAAAAAATGCTCTTTTCCCTTCCAAACTTTCTCCTCATGATGTGGTTTTCATTCATTAGGTGCCAAGGATTGAATTGGCTAATCTCACTGTCAATTAAAAATAAATTTAATTACCAATTAAATGATGCCACATCAGGAGGGGTAGTTTTTAAGAGGAATTTGTAGTATTGGTCTTATTAAAATAGCAATGATTTACTTCCTATTTGTAGGAAGGATGTAAAAAAATTGTAAATGGAAAGCAGATGATTATGTCAACGTGAGAGAGGAGTGTGAGATGTTAATGCTGGTAGGCTGCGACAATTACTACGTACAAGTAGGCATGATATGATGATTCCAGTAAATCTTGACCCTGCAGATACCATAAAGATCTCCCCTTTGAAAACAACCTCAACTAAGCCGACTTTAATGTCTTTTTTTTCGTTTCATGTTTTTTTGTCTTGTTGGGACACTGTTGGGGCTAAGGAGAGTACAGAACCATGAAAAGGATTCAAACGCACGCTCTCTGACAAAGCAACCAAACAAAGAAAGAAAGCAGCAATCAAATGTTAAAAAGGCGTTTGCTACGGACTCGTATTTATTGCACAAAATTAATTGAGAGCATATTATGTACATAGGACTCTTATCATACATTTATATTCTTTTAAAAAAATACAATGTCACTTACAACAAATATTGCTTGGGAAATTTAATATGGGTGCTGAGAAAATGCAGGGAAATAAAAGAGTAAATAACTTCAGACTATATTAAATACACTTTTTTATAAGTTTTTAAGGGTGTACTTTTAAACCAGAAAAATCACTTCTAGAAAATATTTTCCTTTCAAGTGTTTGGTTGCATTCCCGCAAATTGTCTTAGTGTGTTTGATTCAATTTATGAAAATGAGTAAAATTGCATAATTAAACATTTTAACTATTTTATTTAGAATATAATAACATTTATAATAATAATATAAATGGTGGTAGTGGACTAGTGGTGGTGGTGAAGATGGTGGTGTGGTAGTGGTGGTGGTGTTGTTGGTCAGGATAGTTGTAGTGGTGGTGATATTATTTGTTATATTATAATAATAATAATAATAATAATAATAATAATAATAATAATAATAAGTGCAGTGGTGGTAGTATGGTGGTGGTGGATCGGAGGTAGTAGTGGTGGTGGTGGTGGTAGTGGTAGTGGTGGTGATGGTAGTGGTGGTGGTGGTGGTGGTGGTGGTGGTAGTAGTGGTGGTGTGATGGCGGTGGTGGTGGTGGTGGTGGTGTGATAGTGGTGGTGGTGGTGGCGGCGGCAGCGACGGTAGTTGCCGGTGGTGGTGGTGGTGGTGGTGTGGTAGTAGTAGTGCGGTGGTGGTGTGGTGGCGGCAGCAGTGGTGGTGGTGATAGTAGTAGTGGTGGACTGGTGGCGATGGTTGCAGTGGTGGTGATGGTAGTGTAGTAGTGGTTGTGGTGGTAGTGGTGGCAGTGGTGATGGTAGTGTGGTGATGGTGTGGGAAATGGAAAATGAGTTCCCAAAATAAAAGGGCATGTCATTTTCCAAGAAAATGAAACTATTTTCCTTTGACCAAATATCATTTTCCTTTGACTCACATTTTCCACTCTTTGTTAAATACTGAAAACTCGAAAAATAATTTTCAAAAATCATTTTCCGTGTTTCCTAACACACCCTTAAATTATTCACGAATTAAATATTCAAAAAATGGAGGTTTATATTTTGTTAACATTAACAATTTATTTTGAATTTCCAAATTATTAAAAGATATATTGGTATTTTTGTAAAATTTCTCAAATTCCTTTCATGAATCTTCATATATAAAGTACTCTTACCACAAAATTATTGTTAAATACTTGTTTGCATTGATTGAGGAGGAATCTAAGAAACAAAAATGACAAGTAGGATATTATTTAGGATTGGAGATACATTGAATTGTAACTTATAAGTATAATGTGTTAGTTTATTACAAATTTTCCTTACATTGCATGTAATTTACTCTTTTTAATAACTCAATCTTAATGAGTAATATATGCAATTAAGTTAGTTTAATATGTTAATTGATTGTATATAGATGTTTATTCAAAAGGTGAATGCTGTGGATTACTATTTTAATAGAAATAGTATTTTTGTGTATTATTATTATATCTCATTAGAGATGCAAATCTTTTTTTTTTTTCACCATATCATGACGTTGGTTTTAAATTTAGTGGAAGTTGGGTGGATGAGATAATTATCTTTATTGGTTTTTAGATTAAACAAATAATGGGAAAATAACATATAATTATCTAACTTCCAACAGTTAGTAGTCATTACACTCAGGAATATTCAATGTAGCCTCCAACATTAGTCAACCATCTAAAAAAAGAGAGTAACAAAAAACCATCAGTATCATTCTAAATTTAAGAAGAAAAATAACTGAAAGCATGTGTGTTGGGCGTCGGCCGAATTCAGCCTCTACTCGATCCGAGATGTGGCATTTTGGCTTACAATGGAGGGATGTGGTTAAATGGTTAATGTCCACCTACTTATCACCAATTGGTTTTAAGTAGGATATGAAAACCAAATAGTCAAAGAACTCTATGTTTAAGCGTGCTTGACTTATAGCAGTCATAGGAGGGGTGACCCACTGGGAAGTAAGCATAGTGCCGGGCTGAGATCCATCAATTGGTATCAGAGCCAAGGTTATAGGTTTGAATTGATGGCGAGGCGAAAGCCCAGTCCAGAGATCCATCAATCGGTATCAGAGCCAAGGTTACAGGTTTGAATCGATGGCGAGGCGACGGCTGAGTCCAGTCCCAGGAGGGGGATGATGGGCACAGATGCTAAGGACCAAGTCAAGCATGCTGCACAACTGAGTTTGGGCGTCGACCGAGTTCAGCCCCTGTTCGATTCGAGACGTGACGTTGTGGCTTACCATGGAGGGATGTGGTTAAATGGTTAATGTTCACATACTTATCACCAATTAGTTAAGTGTGCTTGACTTACTGGAAAGTAAGTATAGTGCAACGATGTGTTATGTATTTAGATAAATCTCTCTCTCTTTTTTATTTTTATTTTTATTTTTTATTTTTTATTTTTTTATTGTCTTAGACTATAATTTTGTGCAACTTAGAATGCTATTTTGCAGTAAGAGTAGCGTATATATGAAGATTCATAGAGAGAATTTGAGAAAATTTTATGAAATGACGAATATGTCCTTTAATAATATGAAAATTAAAAATAAATTGTTAATATTAAAAAATCTATACATAATGGATTGAATCTGCCACATTCAACATAATTAAATAGAAAAATTTGTATAGAATAATAATTTATAGATTGAGTCTACAATTTAGATATAACTAATGGACTAAAATCGTTACTTTTCTTTAAATATTTGTAAAATTATCAAGAGTTATTATATTATTAAGTATAATAAAACTAGTTCAGCAGAAATGCAAGTATAATAAAACTAGTTCATCAGCATATCTTATATCATAAGATCTCATTAGTAGACCTTCACAGTTGGGATTTGTTAGTATACTACTCCCTAGCCTAAGTTTTATTAGGACTCCTAAGATCTTCCAGGAATATTTTACAATATCCCAAAATCTACCGTTTAGAGGATCTTTCAATTCCTCAAACCCAAAGTCTATCATTTTAAAAAATCTATTGATTCCAACTTACTGAAATATCATATATTAAAACACAATCAATAATTCCAGAAGATATATCTTCTTAAATCATAACATTTTTTGAAAGTCAACCTGGCGGTTGTATTTATAGAAGAGTTAAAATAGAGTCTGGTGGGACATTGTCCCAGTACATAGCAGTAGCGAAACTAAGTGCTGTAGTAGCTAAAGTATGAGCTAATAAATTCTGTAATCTAGGAATGTAAATTACTGAGCAGTAAGTAAAAGTAGAAATATAGGTTCTGCAACTATCGATAGCATAACCTAGATATGAGCGTGATGTGGCTGGTGGTCCAGATAAATAGCACTGCAGTAGTTGACAATCCGTATGAATCTGTATAGATAGTTCATTCCTCCTTTTAAGCCATGATAATACTTCCTTGCATGCAAAAGCCTCGGCCATGAGCGGGGAGTGGCAACCTATTAATGGGGCGCTGAAAGCAGATATGTAGCGGCATTGGCGTCGAGGAGTACCGCACCAGCAGCTGCTGCATTGGTTCCTCGGTGATAGCTTGCGTCCATATAGCATTTGACGGGCGTCATCACCTCGCCATGCATGACTTCCGGCAAGCTGGCGTGCGGCGGAGGCAGTGCGGTTTCGGTAGCGTCGGCGTTCGGTGCAGCTGGCGTCGGTGGAGGCTGCTCGGCAGTAGGGTGGTGGGCAGTAGCTCGGGGCTGTGATGGGGCACGATGATGGAGATCCTTCCATGCTCTCATTGTAGCTGCTGCAATTGTTAATAATTTCGTTGGCCTTGGTAGACAGGCATCCCATACCGCTCCGTTTCGGGCCCTCCATAGATGGTATAAAATTGCAACTGCATAAACAATTCCATCAAAGTCTAGAACATTCAAGATTGCACTAAACCATTCATGAAAATATTTGTGACAATATTGGGGATTGGAAGGTTGGATTTAGCCCAAATGGAGTGTGCATAGTCACACAAAACTAATGCATGCATGGTATCTTCATTCACTCTCCCACACATGGCACACATTGGGTTAACATCCACTCTCTTTATAAGTAAGTTGTTGTTGGTAGTAGGAAGGATATCACAAATAGCTCTCCATAGGAATGTCTTCCATTTTGGTGGAATTTTTAATTTCCATAGGGCTAGCCATTCATTAAAAATCCCAATAGAATTATTCTCGTAATTACCAACTATACGCCTGTAACCACTCTTGACTGAATAACATCCATTAGGACCACCATACCAATACCATATATCATCATACTCAGGGACAACTGGTATACTCTGAATTCTGGGTATATCACTCGGTTGGAAAATATCAGCTAGCATATGCGGATCCCAGGTGCCCGTATCTTGATCAATTAATCCTTCCACTCTGGCCCCAGACAGGTAATGTGGCATTTCTGTGTGAATAATAGGATCCAGTTCATCCTGCAGCCAGGGATGCTCCCATATTAAGGTAGAATTCCCATTCCCAATTCGCCTTCTTATACCACCACATACTAGGTCCTTAGCCGCCATGATACTGCGCCAACAAAAGCTTGGATTATTTCCTATAGTTGCCTCTAGGAAAGTATCCTTTGGATAATATCTAGCTTTATAAACCTTGGCTACCAATGAGTCAGTGTTAGTGAGCAGCCTCCATGCCTGTTTTCCTAACATTGCCAAATTAAATGCCCTTAAATCTTTAAACCCCAGTCCACCATGTTTCTTTGGGACACACAATTTATCCCAGGCTTTCCAGTGAATGCCACGATCAGTACCCGACCCCACCAGTACCGATTCATAACACGTTCAATATTTGTACAAACATATATGGGTAAAAGAAAAACACTCATTGAAAATGTTGGCATTGCCTGAGCCACACTTTTTAACAAAATTTCCTTACCAGCCTGTGATAACAACCTCTTGTTCCAAGATCCAATCCTCTGTTTGATTTTATCTTCTATGTATGCAAATGCAGCCTTCTTGTTCCTACCCACAAATGAGGGTAACCCTAGGTATTTCCCAAAGTTGGGGGCTTGGGCAACACCTAGTATTTGTGCCACCATATCCTTATCAGTCTGTCCTGTATTCCTGCTGTAGCATATATTGGACTTATGATAATTTACTTTCTGACCAGATAAATTCTCATATAACTGTAAACAATTTTTTATCTCAGATGCTTCCTGTCTATTTGCTCTGAAAAACTGTAGGCTATCATCTGCAAAAAATAAATGAGAGATCAGCGGTGCTCCCCTAGCAACCCTGCAGCCATGTATTAAACCTCTATTCTGCGCCTGCTGCAATAGCACTGAAAGCCCCTCCGCACAGATAATAAACAAATATGGAGATAATGGGTCCCCATGGCGGAGGCCACGCGTGGGCGTAATGGAGGAACTGCGAGAGCCATTTATCATAAAGTTATACGACACAGTAGTCACACACAACATAAGCAACTCAATCCATCTATTATCGAAGCCCAGAGCTAATAACATCCCACGGAGGAAGGGCCATTCCATGCGGTCATAGGCTTTGGCCATATCAAGTTTGAGTGCACTCCAACCTACAGCCCCACACCGTTTCCTATTCAAGTAGTGGCCCACTTCCGCAGCTACAAGAATATTATCAGTAATCAGCCTGTCTAGAATAAATGCACTCTGAGAGCCAGATATTATATTCTCCATTAATGGTTTCATTCTCTGCGTAATCATCTTAGCCATTATCCTGTAGATCAGATTGCTCAACGCTATCGGGCGAAAATCCGCTACCACCTCAGGGGTTTGCTTTTTCGGGATGAGTACCACATCCGTATTATTCAGGCCAGAGGGGAAGACTCGATTATTAAGGCAATTTACTATAAATGCCGAAATATCGTTACCAACTACATCCCAGAAATGTTGGTAAAAACCTGGGTTCATACCATCCGGTCCAGGAACTTTGTCAGGGGCCATTGCAAACAGGGCATCTTTAACTTCAAATATCTCAAAAGGACGTAATAATGACTCATTCTGATTCTGGGTTACACGGGGATACTCCAGAAAATAAATTGTCACCATTCACAGGATTACAAGAGGAAAAGATTTGGCTAAAATAATCCAAGATAATCGTATTCATAGCACCTCCTTCCACCCAATCCCCATTATGATTCATAAGTTTATAAATAGTATTTTTCTTCTTACGATGAGAGGCGTACCTATGGTAGAATTTTGTATTAGCATCTGCATTCTTTAGCCAGTGTTGCTTGGCTCTCTGCCTCCAATAAGCATCCTTCTGGATCTCCATATTGCTCAGAATTCCTTCTAGGCGTTGGAATTCATTCAAGGATGCCAGATCAGTACGACCCCTAAGATGTAATTGCTGTTTTCCTAGGTGCCTGATCTTTTCACCAAACTTATGATACCGGTCTCCGCCCCATCTGGACAATCGGTTCCCACAGTGTGCTATACAGTCTTGGATCCCTTCACTCCTCCCTTCCTCCCATGACTTTTCCACCACATTCCTGCATCCATCATCATATATCCAGGCCATTTCGAACCGAAACCCTCTCCTTCCTCCCCCTCCGTTTTGGAATGTCCCATGGACACTCAAAAACAGCGCAGAATGATCAGATTTCCTCATCAGATTATTAATAACTCTGGCCCCAGGCACAATCTCACGCCAACCATTAGATGCTAACACTTTATCCAATCGTTCTTCAATACAAGCTAGCGTACCTTTTCCTTTTTCCCAAGTAAAACGGTAACCCTCCATAGGCAACTAAGTCAAACCACATTGATCAATAGTCTCCCCAAAGCCGCGTAGGAGACTATTAGGATGAGGATTACCTCCTCTCTTCTCGTGTTGAAATAGGAGATCATTAAAATCTCCAATCATAACCCATGGTAAGGTGGACCGGGGTGCAAAGGATTTTATCAATTCCCACGCTTCTGCCCTCCTATGGCGCTGGGAGTAGCCATAATAACATGTCATTCTCCACCTCGGAAAACTGGACATATTTACCTCAATATCAATATGGTTTTTGGAGTAGCTCAATAGACTTGCCGTATTATTCTTCCGCCACAGCAGTGCTAAACCACCACCACCCTGCGGTGTCGGATCAACATAAAAAAGACCATCAAAACCAAGAGTGACACGAATTCTTTCAGCATGTATTCGTTGCACCATGGTTTCCATAAGAAAAATAAAATCAGGCTTCTTCTGGGACGCAAGGTCCGTTAATTCTCGAACTGTTCGTGGATTGCCCAAGCCACGACAGTTCCAGCTGATGGTACTCATAATGACAGGCGGGTCTGGGAACCAGAACCCGCCATGGACAAGTTTTTTTGGATCTCTGTCATAACCACATCCCCACCAACATTCACATCGCCCCCATCATTCAGCTCAGCCCTTCTCCTCTTAATCGCAGTCGTGACTATATCACTTTCCCCTTGTTCACGTGAAGGCTCAGATGCCCCACTCTCTTGCCTGTCAACCCGTGCCCTAGGCACAAGATCCGACCGTGTCCCCGCCATAGGATTACCATTCATGTCAAGAAGCCATGAAGCACCCACTTTCCGCGGCCCCTTCCTAAATCCAGCACGTAAACTTTCATCATATGGATATTGTTCAATCGGTACTCCCGCATCTCGCGCCTTTAAGCAATACTTATGTAGATGCCCCATCATACCACAGAAGTAGCAAAAGTTGTGTAGCCTTTCATACTTGAAATTAACCCAACAAGTCGTTTTATCCCTCTTCATTAGCTTCATACGCCGTTTTAGAGGCTTCAAGACAGAGATTGAAACCCTAATCCGGTAGAACATCTTCCAGGGTGCATTAGCAAATCTATCATCAATCTTAATAAAAACACCAAAAAAGTTTCCTACCTGCTCCAAAATAAGATCAGAAGTATAGCCCAACGGCAAGTCATGCACTTGTATCCACATATCAACCGTGTTCAAAGGCACCGAGACCGGTATCTCCCCATCTTGAATTTGCTTGCAAACGAATGTGTGATTCTCAAAGGACCATGGACCACCATCAAGAACCAACTGAATATCCGTTTCATGAAATAACACAAAGAGAAAAAGCCCCGGTTGCAACTCCGAGACTCGTACTCCCTTCACCGGCTGCCATACCGAAGCCATGACCTGGCTCATAAACTCCGCCTTCACAAGCTTAGTAGTCAAGAATCTACCCACCAGGCACCATGTTGGTACTGTTTCGGCAGGTTGCTCGTCGTCCTTCTCCACCGTCGGCACGAAGACGTCATCTTCCTCATCGTCTAGGGTTACATCCGCACATCGCCGGCCCAAAACAGCGACCGCCTGCGTCACTGCTGCCTGCTCCATGCCTTCTGTCGCGTTACGCCGGTGTAGAAACCGGAGGAAACAATAGAATTCGCCGGAAAATTCTTGAGTATCAAGAAAAGAGAGGAAACCCTAGCAAAACCCTAGAGAGAAAAAGTCGTCGTTAGTTGGAATGATTATGAATTTCTTAAATCATAACATAAAAAGTTAATTCTTATCAACAAATGACCACACAACAAACATTCTTGATCAACAAGTAATAAATTAAAATTTTTACCAATTTAAAATTATATTTTACACAACACCACCAAAATACAATCGTTATATCGTACACCAGGTTCACCATGAGCATTATGGATCCTAGTCCAAATTATGTACATGTAGTTAACATATCGTGTACATTTAGTTTATTTACTTATAGTTCAATATATATATATATATATATATATATATATATATATATATATATATATATATATATATATATATATATATATATATATATATATATATATATATATATATATATATATATTGTAAGATGAATAAGGGAGTTGTTAGAGTTAGTCTCTAAGTCTTTCATTTGAATTTTGAATTCTATGGCTGGTAGTCTTTTAGCTTATGTATAAATAGGGCTTATACTTGTACAACAACACAATGAATATACAACCACTATTCTTGTGTTTCAACACTTAACATGGTATCAAAGCCTAGGAAGTGAGAGCAAGTGCCTAGGGTTGGGAAGGACGGGCGACGCCGCTAAAAGAAGTCTGATTGCCGTCGGAGGAGTCACGCGCCACCGTCGCAGAGCTATTCCGAAGACACGTGCCGGCGCATGAGGTTGTTTCCGGCGATGCCACCGGTCGGTTTTCGCTTCTCTAGTCTCGCCTCATCGTGCTGAGTCTAGGGAGGTAGGATGTGTTGCAGGTTATCGATCTGGTTGGGTCTTCTAATGAAAGAGGTATGACTAATGTGTTTTATCTTTTCTAGGTGAAGGGTTGTTGTGTTGTTCATCTTTTGAATTTGTTGGGTGAAGATTAAAATGGCACAAGAAAGGAAAATCATTGTTATTTCCACACCATCTAAATTAATTGACATAGTTTTGGCTTTAGATGGGTCTAATTTTCTGAGTGGATATTTTTTATTAAAGTAAATTTAGATGGTATGGGGAAGGGTGATCATTTGAAAAAAGAGTGTCATACAGATGCTACTTTAGCTATGGACTAGAAAACTACTGATAAAGCCTTATTGTTACATGTAATTAATTGCATTGATAGGAGGAATTATTTTGTCTATGCAACACTGCCAAACTATTGAAGAAGTATGGGATTTAGTGAACAAATGGTTTAGTGGAACCAGTAATTTGAGAAAATTATACTAGTTATCTTAGGAAGCATATCGGTCTAGTCAAAAGGGGTGTGAGCTTAGAGTGTATTACTATGACTTTGTGTTGCCTTGTATGCTGCGATGCTAATAACAAATGATGTGGATGAAATGAAAAAACAACGTGACAAATTACTTTTTTTTTTTAGCTAGGTTGCTGGACTGGATAAAGAATATGATGTCATTAGATCTCAACTATTTGGAAATAAGGACTTAGAGTCTTTGGATCGAGTATTTTCCATGCTATAGAATGCATCAATAAATAATGATTCAAATGATCTCTAGGAAAGAAATGTCTTTATGTTACAAGGTAGTATGGATCCAAGTGCCCTGGTATCTCAAGGGGGAAGTACCGGTGAAAGTTATGGCTCTCAAAGAGGATGTAATAACCGCTTCAGAGGACGTAGTGTAACACCCCGAAAATTCATTCCCTAAAACCCGAATTAAATCTTTAATTAATTCCCTGTGGCTTTACAATTCTTATCCTAATTTCCCTTTGAAATTAGTTGAAGGACCTAGTTGACCAAATTCCTTATCCTTTTAATTTGGTCAATGAGTTGTACCTTGGACTTTAGCCCTTGTACCCTAGACTTTGTCTTTCTCCTAACTAGTTTTGGGAGGAAGGGGCCCTTTTGGTCATTTCATTCAATGCTAGCATAAAAACCCTACCCTAACCAAGGAATCCAAATCATTTTTCAGGATTTCCCTTTTCTCTACATCTCTTTCTTGCCCCGTACTCCTCCTTCTCTCTATGAAATCCTAGAGTTCATCTTCACAAGTTCTTCAAAAATCCTAAGCCAAAATTCCAACTTCCCGACACTACAAGGCTAGTAATGGTAAGATCTATCCTTCACTAACTTTTCCTTACAAGATTCCTCCATCTTTTCTCTAAATCTTTCTTCTACCTTTTGGATTTTGGGAGTTTGTAGAAGATCTAGTGGTGGGTGAAGTGCTAGGTTGATCTAGAGGAGCTTTGGTCTTGCTTTGAGGTTGAAGAAGGTGTTCTTTGTCTACAAGAGGTAACCCATGCTACACAAAACCTAGTTTCACTTGATAAGAATGATTATTGGCTTGTATGTGATATTTTTGATGTGTTTGAGTGATTGATGCATGATCTTGTGATAATGTGTGTTTAGAGCTTGTATTAGGGTCCTTGAATGCTATTGTATGAGCTATTCATAGGTTCAAGTCATATCTTTGTTGTATGGAAGATTTGGGGTCATTTGGACTTGAACTTAACCTTGAAAGTGCAAAACTGCGCAGTGCTGACTTTTGGTGCAAGGATGTTCCCCGCGGGAGGAACCACCAAGGGGGGGGGGGGGGGGGGGAGCCCTACGCGTGGACCCAACCCCAGGGTACCCGTTTGAGAAAGGGTGGGCGGTTGTTTGCCCACCGTTTCGCCCATTCGTCTGTGATTCTTTGGCACCGTTTGATTGGATTGTTGAGCTTTTGTGTGTCTCCTTGATGTTATGTATGTCTAGAGCGACTTCTTAAGTATCCATATTAGGACTTGGTGCCTTGAATCGTGCTTATGGTCCAACTTTGTGATTCGTTGGATTATTATGAGTCGTTGGGGTTCGTTGGAACCATTTTGGTTTACCCGTTTGATATGCATGATAGTCTTGGTGTCATTGATGCTAGTATGTGTTGTTTGTCCATTTCTATTAAGGATTGGCAACTCGTGTTGCTAATTATGTTGATATTGGATTGAGGTCCATTGTTGTTGTTGAGTATCGTTTCATGTCCTTCATTGAAACCCCTTGATTAAATTCCTTGATGTGATCCTGTGTGTATAATTATTCCTTGATTAAGATCCTTTGTTGTACACACTTTGTGTGGAATCTAGGTGTGGTTGTATCTCTAGATTCCGTGTGTATTGACTCTTCTTGAGATGATGGATTGATGTGATGAGACGATTGAGCTGGTAAAGTGGGCAGTGTGAGGACTATGTGTGATTGCATCCGGTAGTGGGTTAAAGCTCCGGATTGCCATTTGGTTACTTGTGACTCGTGGGCAAACTGGGAAACTCATTCCAGTTGCCAGAGATGGTAACTAACCCGTTGAGCTTGGAATCTCAATAGGGGGTGTATACACTTAAAGTTGCTAGCTCTGCTTCCATTGGGCTGCGGTCCTTGTCATTGCGATGACACTATAGCATGTGATTCGGGTCGTTGCAATGACTACGTGATACATGATTGATGATTTGGAGCCCTCCACACTGATCCACTATGAATCGGGCCGTGGTGCTGACTCCACGGTATATGACTTGGAGTGATTGTGTCCTATGACGACTTGGAACTCGTTGTGGTGTGAATCTTGTCTTCCATTGCTTAAGAGCATGTCTTTTGTGAATCCTTCGTTGTGGGTTGTACGTTGTACCTTATTGTTGAGCTTGTTGCTTGTGGTTCTATTGTCTTATTGAGTATGTTGGTCTTTGTTTTTTGTTGTGAGTGATTGATGAGTCTATTGATGTTTCCTCTCTCTCGACTTTAAAATGATATATACTGTATTCCCAGTTTCAAATAGTTTTGATTATATCTATGTATATTATGATACTTAACGCGTGTTGGTGGGTTACCGGCATTATTCGCTGACCGGGTGTTATCCCCTTATCTTTTACAAGTTGAGTAGCTTTGGAGAGCGCGCTAGTGACCTGTAGATAGATTAGATCTCTTTCTTTAATATTTGTTGAGGCCTGTGAACCTAAGTAGTTGAGTTGTTAGACTGCTTAGTAGTTAGTGTTTGCCTGTGCACCTAATGTTGTGTAGGTGTGGCATAACATCTCCTGGATTTATGTAGTTAGCTTCTGCTTTGCTTATTCTTAATGATTAGACTTTACCTCTATCATAAGATTTAATTGGTTTTTAAAAGTTGTTGAAATTCGGGGGTGTTACACGTGGGGGTTCTGGGAGAGGTCGTGGAGGCCCATGAGTTTGTTTTAATTGGAGAGATCCCGGGCACTTTTGAAATCAGTGTCTTAAGCCGCCAAGACAACAAGTGGCTGCTAATACTGCCACTACAAGAAAAATGCACATAGACAACGGTTATTAACCGTTGTCGTAGGGGTATACTTTCTGTTGTTGAAGCCGGTGTTGTTGTAGGTCCTGCTCATAGACAACGGTTTTTTAACCGTTGTCTATTAAGTGTTGTTGAAACAGGTGTTGTTAAAAGTCACGCAATAGACAACGGTTATTAACCGTTGTCTTTTCTGCCAACGACAACGATTTTTTAACCGTTGTCTATTAAGTGTTGTTGAAACCGGTGTTGTTAAAAGTCACGCAATAGACAACGGTTATTAACCGTTGTCTTTTCTACCAACGACAACGGTTTTTTAACCGTTGTCTATTTAGTGTTGTTGAAACCGGTGTTGTTAAAAGTCACGCAATAGACAACGGTTATTAACCGTTGTCTTTTCTACCAACGACAACGGTTTTTTAACAGTTGTCTATTTAGTGTTGTTGAAACCGGTGTTGTTAAAAGTCACGCAATAGACAACGGTTATTAACCGTTGTCTTTTCTACCAACGACAACGGGTTTTTAACCGTTGTCTATTAAGTGTTGTTGAAACCGGTGTTGTTAAAAGTCACACAATAGACAACGGTTATTAACCGTTGTCTTTTCTACCAACAACAACGGTTTTTTAACCGTTGTCTATTTAGTGTTGTTGAAACCGGTGTTGTTAAAAGTCACGCAATAGACAACGGTTATTAACCGTTGTCTTTTCTACCAACGACAACGGTTTTTTAACCGTTGTCTATTAAGCGTTGTTGAAACCAGTGTTGTTAAAAGTCACGTACATAGACAACGGTTTTTAACTGTTGTCTTTTCTTTAAAAGACAACAGTTATAAACCGTTGTCTATTGGGTGTTGTTGAAACACCCATAAACTGTTGTCTTTTGTAGAAAAGTCAACGGTTTCTAACTGTTGTCTATTGTAAAATAGACAACGGTTTTTAACCGTTTATCACCTGCTTAAATTATAATCGTATAAAAAAACAATTTATCCATTCACCATAAATTGCAAAGTGTAGTTACATAATTGTGCACAAGCTAATAAGGTTCAAAATAAAAAGTAAAAAGACTTCCATGACCAATTCTAATTATCATTCAAGTCATAATACTACTACACAAAAAAACAATTCCCCGAACCAATTCAAGTCTAGATGATCACAACGTTCGAATGACCAAATCATACCTACTCTATATGACTTGATAGAATATCGGCCCATTCAGATCGCACCAGATCAATAACCTCTTTGTCATAATCAACTTGTTGAAACTACATGTAAAAAGTAAGAAAATAAATTAGTATAGATATAAATAATTTGCAATGAAATGAAACTGCCCTCTTACTCTCACCACATTCATACTCAAGCTGTTCATAACAAGATAATGAGTTTCCTAAAGAGAATCATAACAAGTGTAGCCAACAAGTAAAGAAAGACACTTGAAAAAGCAATACATCAAGCACTAAAATGCCCAAAATTTCGAGCTTTCACACGCATTCTACACCCAAATTTCAGAGCAACAAACTTATTCTAAAAAATAAAAAATAAAAATCAAATTTATCATCAATAACTGTCCAAATCAAGTGAAAAAGAGAGAGGCTTAAACCCAAGCTAACAAAGCATTAAAAACCTAGAACCATTCTGCAATTAAATAACAGCGAGAAACAAGGAAGAGAGAGTAGAAATGGAATGTAATACCAGTGCTTGAACAGAATTTTTATCATTGAAGTCTGGCATATTCTCAATTAAAGTTTTCATGTACGCCATGACAAAGAAACCGCATTGGTTACTATCCGGTTGACGAGGAGCCTACAAATGTTAAATAATATTTGCATTACAATTTAGCTATATACAAACACTTATATAGTTAAAAATATGAAATTACCTTGACAATTTCCCAAGTAGTTTTACTGCGTCCTTTCTTTGCATTCGTAATGGATGCATGAACCATTTTAATAGCCCTTCATATGTATATATATATTTGATTATTCAGATTATGTAATAATAAATCGAAAGAATGAAAATAAAAAAAAATAAAAAATAAAAACTTACATTTCTACAACACGCTTCCAATCATCATCGCGAATGCGATGATTAAGAGGGTCCCACACATAAACTAAGTCCTTAGTGATGTTGATAACTGTCAGAATCCAATGGAAGCTATGCACACACAAACACATAATTATATATTACATCAACACAATATATGCAATTGAAAGTAAATTGTAACCATTCTTACCCTATATTACATGGCACCAAAAGTGTTGCATCACTTGGAATGTCCAGCAGTCTGTTTGCTAAAGCTCGTGCCCTCTTTTCCAATTGATTTTCTAGAAAATTTGTATCTGTTCTTTTCGTTGCCAGATGCCATACAACACTTGGCTGCATAAATCTGAATTTGTCAAGCTTGTTCTCTTCCATCATCTTGTTATACAAATACCTAACATTTGAACGGAAACTGAATTAGAAGAACAAAGCATAGAAGTGATAAGTTATCAAATTGACTCGAAATATATATTAAATCATACCATATGTAGACAGCAATACACGTGTACGATATTGGCATCAATTGACAAAAAGGAGTCACATCTTCGTCGTGCACAAAGAGAGTACATTCTTCCCCGAAGACATTATTATCTAGCAATATTTGTAAATTCTCTCCATTCCCAAGTGCACGCTTGTAATAACAGTAAAGTAGCCATAATGACTTAGGCATACTTGAGGAGTTCAACTCAAGCTTTTTGACTTCCTTGGCCGCTTTCTTCTTAGATGGTTTCTAATTTGCAAAATATACGCATATTAGCTAGATAAATAAATATACTAAGAAACGCATGTTTATTATACACATAAATATATTAAAATTTACCTCCAAGACATCTTCTTTTTCAATAAATTGCAGCTCATCATCATCGTCCTCAAAATCCAATTTATGTTGAATATCACCAATTTCTTCTTCACTTTTCTTCGCACCCTTTGCATCCTTTGCAGTACAGCTGCCTTTTGCTTCAATCTGAATATTACAGCCAACATTTTGAAGTAGCATATTTTCTAACTTTGCTACTCTGTCTTCAACTTTGGCTTGTCTGCTTAGAAGAACATTTTTCTCATGAGCAGGCATCATCCCTCTACCCATTCTGAAATATGTTGAGGGATTGACATGTCCCCCTATAGCCCTCACCCGACCTCCATGCTCCTTAGATTCAAGAGCCTGTGTCAGGATGTCCTCATTTGGTCCTTGAAGTTGCAACAAACCATCTTGTTTTTGCTGAATATATTCATCCTGTAATGCATGACAAATCCATGATATAACCACAATCTTTAGAAATACATAAAGAGGATAATACCAGTAAAGGTTTTGCTTACAATCTTTGTAAATTTTGTCTTCAAAACATCTCCTTGTACTTCTCCTTGTTTACTAGTTCTCCCTTTCTTCCACAGTATAGCTCTATTAACTTCGTCATCATCACACAACTCCGTCGACTACAGGCAAGAAGATTTATAAATGTCAAACTTAGGGTGAAAATGTGTTGAAGTTAATAATAGTGAAAGTGAAATAATAATTACTTACAATTTCACTAGCTAGCCGGGCATATCCTTTACGAGCAAGCCGATGTGGATAAAGGTTTTTCTTTCTTCTTGACTTTTGTAACTCGCTCACTTTCTAAGACAAACATGATTAAATAAAAGCTTCACATTATATTTCTGCCATAGCACCATACATTAAGATTAAATTAAGACTTCTTGAACGATACTACATTGAAGTGCAAAATCAAACCAACAAAGAGAACTATATTACAGTAAAACTGTCCCAAATTTCACAGATTGTAAATAATAGGATAAAGAATGACATTCAATTGGATATTTGGAGACAATAATATAGTTGTATTATTAAGGCAATGTTTGATGAACAAAGGCCACTTTCTTGGGAAAAGCATATGGTCAAACTATTCCCATTCTTACTTGTGTATCAAGATTTAAAGGCTTGCTGGCATGAAAATTGAAAAGGGACCTTCATTGCTTTAGAGACAAGCTCTTTGGCTGCCAATCTTATCCACAATTTTGATACATTTGACTTCCATCTTTAAAAGTTAATAAAAGGACTGAACAAATAAATGAGAATCCTAGAGCTCTATGTTTCAATTTTATTTTATTTTTTGATACATTTGAGTTCTGTGAAGGAAGCAATTTTTCCAGTCAGTACACTTTGCCCACAAGAGCTCTTCAACTATTACAAATATCATTATCCCACAACCATTTTACCATTTTATTTCATGCTCAAACTCATCTCTACCAACAGACAAGAACCATAATAGATATCAAACACAAGGGCAGAAATACATGAGTTCAAAATTCAAGGATCCAAACACATTATATAATAAACAGAAAATATCACTCAGAATGTTATAAAAATAGCAGAAACAATATCTCCATAAATAATATATTCCTTATTTGATATTCCAAAAAAAGAGCACTAAAATGGTGGTCCAAGATGAAAATACCAGATTAAAACAACTTAATACTCAATCATCTCATTTGTAATATGAATCGGATTATGCTAAAACATACAGTTCACTGTCCTAAACTAATCTAGGAAGGTGAACAGATTATCAATAAAATCAAAACTAATATAAAGCCCAATTAAAGCATACAATGATACAAATATGCATATAGAGCATCCCAGTTGCTAGTTGCATGTTGTCTGTTAGCAAAAAGTTCATTTATGCACTCAAGTCCAAGTGTTAACTATGCTTAGATAATTTTGAGGTTACCTTGAATTCTTCAGACATGCGGGAAATCACAAATTGAGTCCATTCATCTCCCGTAATACCATATCCTGCCGGTGGTTTATGTAAGTTTTCTTCATCATCCAATCTTGAATAAATAAATTTATTCGTGAGTTGTGTCTTATATTGACGCCACTTATCATTCGCTGAGCTCAAGCAATTTGTAAACGTAGTACATCCAGCGTATAGCGGTTTCTCTGCATCTTCTAGTAATTTACTAAATTTTTTGGGATCCTCAACGTATTCGTCATAAGCAGCATTTACCATATCTATAGGGTTTTCATCAAAAAGCATCTGCTCCTCTCCCCTAATTTGACTTCCCTCATCTATTGAGTTGTTAAACGTGGCCTTCTCCCCGTGCCATATCCATGACACATACGTTGCATCCATTCCATTACGGTACAAGTGTGCCCTTATAGTATCAATAGGTTGCTTCCTTAGGTTGCCACATATTGCACATGGGCATGATATTGAATTAGGATCAAAGACATTTTTTTTAGCAAATTCTAAAAAAGATTCTACTCCAACCTCATATTCATAACATAATCTATCTTTTGACATCCATTCTTTGTCCATTTCAATGCTACAAAACAGTCAAGTGACAAGAAAAATAAATTCATGTCGCTTAAAAATAATCAAGTAACAAGACAAATAATATATATATATATATATATATATATATATATATATATATATATATATATATATATATATATATATATATATATATATATATATATATATATATATATATATATATATATATATTCAGGCATACCCAGAGATTGAATACATGCTCATCAACTCGAATACAAAGCACCAAAAGAATCAGAAATCACAATAATACTGTGAAAAATAATCTATTGATCAGGCTGAAAACAAAACCCAAAAAAAAAAAAAAAAAAACAAATGAACAGCATAATGTGGTCTGTCCGGCAATTCGTGTGAGTTCTAACACATTGAATATCAAACAGAGCAGCAATCAAACAGAATGCAACTTTTTCATTTTTTCTTTCCCTTCCTGACCCAAACTCCAAAAAGCTGTAACTTTTTATATTAAGCATGCAATATTTTTCTTCTTTTTCACATTATATGAAAGAAAGAAGTTTAATTTGGTTTTGTAATTTGGCTATATTAAGAGGTAGATTAATGTCATTTCTTTCATACATATGTGCATGGGAGAATATATATATAATGGGATTCAAAGAAGCAATTAATAATTGACCTGTATGTGTGTGTAAAAACAAGAATCTAGGATGCAAATTGCATGCAAGACATGCAGCAGTTGTTGTTGATTTCATTTGTTTTGTATATATATTTTCAAAGCTGGGGATTTTTTGAAGTTTTCAAGGATTTTAACTTGAAGTTGTTATTGATCAGCTTATGAGGTGGTCTTGAGCAGAAAGAAACAGACTAAAATTAAACTGCATGGAATGAAGTGATGAGCTCATTTTCCCAGTCAGTACCCACCAGACATTCTCCCACCCCAAATAGTACAAAATTAATACAAAAAAAAAAAAAAAAAAAAAAAAAACTAACATCATCACTACAATATACTGGCAATTAATACTGTCTTAAACCCCTGTGCAAGAACTCTTAACAACCATTGGCAAACACATACTCAAAAGTGTATAAAAAACAGAATCAATCTTTTCTACAAACGAAACAGTAGCAGAATTTGTAAAAAAAGAAAAACCTTAAGGTAATTGAGAATGTCAACTGTGGTTACTCTTGATCCTCCCTCTTGTAGCCTCAAGATCCACTGGTACAACTTCTCCTATTATATATTTAGAGAATAACCAAAACAAGCTAGACTTAGTTTGGTTCCTTTACATAGTAAAAGAGAAATCTTTCATGATAGATTGAGAAAAAAAAAATTAAGAGTCAATTGACAACAGATTACCAAAACACATTACTAGTTAAAACATTCAATCACATAAAGATTTCAAAATCAAATGTCCATAAATAATAAAAATCACAAGTCTAACAAACTAATAATAGTTCATAATTTAAAATATGCTCCAAAGTCTAAATGAGCTCACTGCTCACTGCCAATGTCCAACTACCAAGAGAATGGTGCATTGATGCATATTCATAGAGACTAATATGTAGCTATCTAAGTGGTAAATTTAAAGTATACCAAAAACAAGCATAAACAAGTTTCTGGAGAAGCAGAAAGAGTAGATTGAACAAGCATAAACAACTTCTTTCTTATGCAAGAGTAGATTGAAAAATTCAATAATCACACCCAGAGATCATAATTTAAATTTCTATCATATTTTCACACAAAAAAACAAATACTGTATTGATACACACATTGATACAATCAGACCTAGCTTCGATAAAGTTGACAGATTATAGGGGGAAATTTTGATACAATCTTAAAATAACTTGGATACCTCACGGCGGCGGCAGCTGGACCGACGGCGACACAGGATGGCGGCGGCGATGGTGGAAGAGGTTGGGCTTTGGCGACGGTGTCGAAGCTTGGACGCGGCGG